ACTTTAGTTGAAAAGTTTGCTTTCTACTGAAAAGAAATTTCATGAAAAACTGTGTGTTGAGTCTGATGCTTTCCTATCTGGTGCCTTCTCCTGGGTTCACCCAAAATCTCATATGAAGTAGCTGGTAAAATTTCTTTACTCAAAGTCTGAACCTTCATCTAAACCTCATCTATACCCAGGGATAGCCTCCCTGTGCAAACTTCATTTGCAAAATGATGTCTTTCTGGTTGTATCATTAATATTTTTAACTAACTTTTCCTGGCGATTTAAGAAGGCTTAATAGGTCCTAAAAAAATGAACTACTTTGCTGTGGTTTTGGGCTTTTTTTGGCAGTGCAGTATTTTGAAAACAACCCTAAAGCCCTGACCTGAAATCCAGACACTGAGATCCCAGAAAAGGTATCAGTAGATCAATTTTTGTCCTAAGACACCCTGGTAATATTCTTTCCTGTTTCTGTATGGGAATTACAGAGAAAACCCAAACGTGACTGGCGACTTTAAGACATTTCTTGCAAATGTTCTGCATAAGTGAGTGCCTAATCAAATGTAGATTCCCAAACTTTTTCTTCTTCATTTTTCTTTAATACTGTTTCTCTTGAAGCTCACTGCTTATATGCAGTTTTTCTTGTAAAGCTGCACTGTTGCTGAACTAAGCGAACAGCTGTGTCAGATATAAACCCCACAAAGCATCTAACATGTCTGTGGTTACCCTTCTAAATTTTTACAGAGGAAATATATAATTGAAAAGCTAACTGGTAATTTTAGTTATCCCAGCTGGTTGGTTTTTTTTTTTTTTTCATTTTGTCAGTGGAATTTGGTTTAGTTTATTAGCCAGTGTCTGGCATTTTGTCTTGCTTATGTTATTTATGGAGAAGGCAAATCAGTGTAGTTTCTGCACTGTTTTGGGGAAAAAGTAGTATAGCTGGTCTTGACCCGCCTTCTTCTAAGTCATTGATATAATCACTTCTGACTGATGTATTGATGCCTAAAAATTGAATATATATTTGGAAAATTTGGGTGAATGACTCACAGAATTAATGTATCACCAACTGTAATTGAGAGAGACTCTGTACGGAACTGCTTATTAGAGCAGCAAGATGAGAGGCACGGATACAGAAGGATTTTAAAGGTCTCTTTTTGTGAGCCTTACCGCTGCAATGCATACTTGCATTGAGGAGGGATACGTCTGAAACGCTGGGTCCTAACTCCCCCTGGGGTCAGTATTTTGCTTGGACATGGAGGAATGTAAAATAAACGCATGCTTGGTCCTGCACGGTTTGATTCAGCTGTCAAGAAGAGACTGAAGTCACACAGTAAGTAAAAAGTCACTGTAGGAATGTGGGTAAAAAGTGCATTGGCCGCCAGCCCGAGTAGTGAGTGAGTGGTGAGGGAAATACACCTGAGAGTACCCTTTCTCCCATCTCTCCCCCTGGCTGTAGGTGTTGGCCTTCACCAGGGAACTGCTAGCTGTTAGTGATCAAAGGTAGTCAGTGATCCCTGGCTCTTGTCGTCTGTGAAGAAGCTTGTATGGTGTGTCCACCTTAATGGCAAAAACCCGCGCCATTCCCTAAAAATGGAAAGAAAGTGCAGTTTTCCTGCATTTGCACAGCCCCTTATACTGCTTAGAGCCACATCTGAGCCAGTAATTGCCAGAAATTGTATGTTGTATTTGTGTGTCATCAGGCTTTTCCTAGTGTTTTGTGACTACCTCTCTTTTGCTTTACTGTGGTTTTCTTGATAACTCCTGAATGACTGCTATAAATTAAGTTCCGTGAGCATTTGGAGGAGGAGGATTTTGAGGAAAAAAATCATGTGGCATGCTGCAAAATGAAGCTGCCTCTTACAGTTTTAATGAGAAATTTCAGGCCACAGCACTGTGCATTCATCAAATTAGACTGCTAAGTATCCTTCTGTTACTCCCACAAACAAGTGTGGAAAGTTGTCTGCTGCTTTACTCCAAGGAGCCTTCTCTTCACATTGATTTGCTCTCACAATTGCTCTGTGTCAGTCCTTGAGGTCTGCATTGTGAGACCCTCCTTTCTGCAGCAATGGCACATGTCGTTGCTACTACTGAAATACAGTTTAGTATAAAGGCCATTCAGTCAATGCCAGCATTCATTTGGAAGAAGTTTAACATTAGCATTTTCTGTCCTTGATACTGCAAAGTGCCAAGCTCCCTGATTCTGATTAGCAAAGCATTTAAAATTACACATAAAGCTCTCTATCAGTGGCCCCATTGATTTCAGTGGAGCCAGTCACACATTTAGACTTCCAGAAGATGCTAAAATGATTAGCATGTTGGGGGTGAGAGCACTCCGATTCTGGAGCCTTAATGAATGGGTCAAATTAATCTTTTTAAAAAAAACCCAAAATGCCAATTAAAAAGAGAGTTCATGATCTTTGCTCTCATACCAGTGGGGAATCAGACCAAGTGAGAACACGTGTACAGCAAACAGAGAACGGGGAGTCGTTTATAGTAACATAATCATCACGACTGGAAACTCTAAGAGGTTTTCTTTCTCTTTTAAATCACTATTTTTGTAGAAGAAGCTTAGTCTACTTATAATTAACTCTTAAAGCCAGGCAGCTATTTAGGCCTCATAGCTGGTAATTTGAGGTCTTCATGTGAATGTGTTTTCCTATGTTGACACTAATTTATTTCTGGGAAAAAAAAAAAAAAAGAATATTGCAAGAAGGGTTTCTCATGAAGTGCAGGCAAAAATAGGGCTGAAATCTAAACTGAAATTGCCAGGCACGGATTCTGAATTGTAGGTTTCTTTGTAAGCAAAATGATCCAGTTTCGGACTAGCCTAAGAACACAGATTCTTCGTCTGAACTGGATATTGCCACTTATATCAGTTAAAAACAAGTGTGTTGGAAGCATTTGACTTCTGACAGAGCCTTCGCGATTTCCCTCTGCCCTTCATGTGTGTGAAAAGGCATTCATACCTTGGACTAGCACATGCCAGCAAATAAATGCTGTGCATGCTAACTCTGGTGGACTAACTGGATATCTGTACGCAAGTGGATGTTTGAGGCACTCACATTTTATGTAGTGGCAGATTAAGTATTTGGCAGGCATTCTAGGTGCCTATTTTAAAATATTTATTCCTGTGTTTATTTTTCTTTCATATACTGCTGCAGTAACAAGTTACTTGTACTTAACCAAAGGTTTTGTGTATTCCTCCAAGAGACTAAAAGCAGAGTAGATATAAAGAGAAATTATGGTAAGAGTCAAAAAAATTCCATTCCCTAAAAAGGGAAAGAAAATGCAGCTTTTCTGTATTTACACAGCCCCTTATACTGCTTAGGGCTGCATCTACCCCCAAAGTATGTAGTAACCATTTATCTTACATCTGTTAAACAAAAATGTGCAGTACAAATGGATTGCTGTGCACAGTGTCTGCAGGTGAGAGAAGGAGCAGATGCAGGGGGGTGCTGTAACATGCACTGCCCAAAGAATCAGGTGTTGTCAGAGCTGCTGCCCACTCCTGGCATCTTCCCCGGGGGTGTATGGAAACCTCATAGCCCTTTGGGAACCCCATAGACCAGATCTGTACCTGCCATTTGCTTTGGGGGGAACAGTGACTGTCCATGTGGGTGATTTTTTTCACATTGGAGAGAATGCTTTTGAAAAGGCAATAGGGGAGCTCTGAGGAAGCAACCCCAAGGTGGCTTGGTAGAGTTGAAGGGTTCAGGCAGGATTTGGGAGGGGAGGCTGTGCATCAAAGGCAAGCAATATATTTATGTATTTAACATCAGTCTGACTGCCGATGTGTCCAAGTTAAGCAAGTGCTTAAATATGTGTGGAAACTGACGCAAGCTCTGTGGTCAAGTGAAATGAGATTAAAGAAGAAATAGTATGTGCTCTGGGGAGTCTAAAGAGGATAATCGTGATGTGCTGCTGGGTGAAGGACTGACTCAACACAGTCCCTGACAGCTCTTAGGACTCTTGCTTGCAGCCTGGCTGCTAGGAATTATGATCAGGAATGGAAATTGTCTGACACATGTTGCCACTAGGTTGGAGGATTTTTTTCCAGGTCATCTATGGCATAATGTTTCATATATGGGTGTCCTAGCTTGTTTTGTTGGATTTTTTAAAATTTTCTTTCTCTGTCTGTTTCACTTGTTTCTGGCATTGCATTCCAGGTTTCTGAGACTCCTGCACCCCATTTTACTCTCCTGATCTTGGTGTTGACATGTTAGCAAAGTCTCCAGGACCAGGATTCTGCTTCACTGTGATTTATTCACTGTTGCCTCCTTCTTCTACATGTTGTTTCTTTGGCTTTTTTTTTTTTTTTTTTTGCCTCCTCGTGCATTTTAAGCTTGTCATTGCACCCTTTCTTTTGTTTTTATAGCAAAGATCATGTTTTAAGCCCTGCTCCTAAAATATCCATCCAGAGAGTAATTTTGAAACAATCCCATTGAGACTGCTGGTATGTTTAAATGTAGCTTTACTCTTAGCACTTTTTTGAATCAGCAGATCTGTCCATGTTAGTTTTACTATTTAGGAGTGTCTTTATCGTTTTCTTCTTTGAAACCAGAAATACTTTAGAAGTTTTTGGCCACGATGCGGGTTTTTTTATGTATTGTTTTAAAATATAAATTATAAAAATGAAGTTAAAAAGTTTTAATCAGTAAAACAACTAAATATCCCTGCAGCATATTCCTGCCTGTGTGAATTATCTTGTCAGTCAAATAGTCTGTGTACAGCTATCAGTTCTGGAGGGCAATACTTACTTAAAGTGCTTTACACTGGTATAACATCTTTCTCTGAGGATTGCCAATAATTTTAAAGCAGTGATTAAAAATGCTGTGAGGCACATGAAGTGGCATTTGTGTGGGTACAGTGGGCTATCAAAAGGTTAAATGACTCGCTTAACGAGTGAGCGGCCATCTCAATCTCCTGACCTAGGCCCCAGAACAACCATTCCTTTATAAATAAGGGGTGCAAAGGCAAAGCCTCTGACATTTATTATTCTGATGTGTCTCTGTGCCCAGGACATTACATTTCTGTGGATACATCTTATGAGGGTGAGAAAGCAGTGCTGTCCAGCCCTGAGCTGTACTCGGAGGAGTGGAGCTGTGTCAGGCTGATTTATCAGATAGCAACGACTTCAGAGGCTTTGCCTGATCCCGCCAAGCTCAACCTGTACCTGCGGCGGCAAGGGGAGAGCTTTGATCGTTTGCTGTGGTCAGCCAAGGAGTCCTCCGACAGCTGGCTGATAGCGAGCTTGGATTTAACAAACAGCACAAAGAAGTACAAGGTAAGCCCGGTCCTGGAAGGTGCGGCGGGCCTGCGGGTGCGCCTGTTGGGTGGGGCGTAGCGACTGCTTCTCCAGAATTGCCACTCCGGGCCCTGTTTTTGGCTTTCGCCTCTCTACGCCTGGCAGCACCCATGTGAGTCAGTCCAACCCCTCTGTTCCTAGAATCAGCGAGCAGAGCTGGCCTGAGCCAGGCAGCTGCTGCTCTTCCCAGCAAAGGCGTGGTGCAGCTCATGGTGATAGGACGAGGGGAAATGGCCTCCAGTTGTGCCAGGGCAGGTTTAGGTTGGTTGTTAGGAAAAAATTTTTCACTGAAAGGGTTGTCAAGCATTGGAACGGGCTGCCCAGGGAAGTGGTCGAGTCCCCATCCCTGGAGGTATTTAAAAGACGGGTAGACAAAGTGCTTAGGGACATGGTTTAGTGGTGGGATGGCAGTGCTAGGTTAACGGTTGGACTTGATGATCTTAAAGGTCTTTTCCAACCTAAATGATTCTATGACTCTATGAAAGCACAGCCAGCCAAGCCGTGCTGTGCCATGAGGATGCTTCACCTTGCAGCAGCCCTGCAGAGCTGCTGGCATCCTCCAGCAGGTATGGGACCTCCCGGGTCTCAGGTCCACAGCCACGCTCACTTGTTTCTGTCCTCTGCACCCTTCTGGGAGGAGTCAGAAGCTGACAGGAGAGTATAGCTACCCAAAACCCCTTGTGTCGCAGCTCTCACGGTAATGTCCTGTATAGCCACAGCTGAGGAATCTAGAGTCCCCTACCCTTATCGGAAGCGTCGGATTTTTTGGCCTTGTCTCGTTGTCCTTCAGTGTGCCTTCTGTCCTTGAGGAAGGGCACTGACTCCCTCTTCAATGCATTCTGCCAAGCTCTTCCCACAAAAGCACCTCTCCCCATGGTAAGGATGATGAGCGCCCCACATACATTTAATTTTTTCTCCTGTTTATCCTCTTCAAATGTCTGGAGTGATAACGGAAATACAGAAACCCTAAAATTTACAGTTTGGTTTACATTGTGCAGATTGTACTGGAAGGTGAAATGGGACAAGATAAAGCCGCCAGTATAGCAGTTTTTGAAATTAAAATAACCCCTGGATATTGTATTGGTAAGTACTGTCTGCTCAGCTCCTGTATTCTCTGCATAGAAAAAAAATGCCTTGTTGGCAGTTTTAAAACTGAATTAAAGGCCTGGATTTAGAAAAAACACATTTTTTTTTTCCTCAGTGAAAAGTAGGCTGCCATATTTGGTATTGATATTTTTTAAGCTAAGGTTGCTTAAAAAAACACAGTTCCCCACAACATCATTCTCTCTAAATTGGAGAACTATGGATTTGATGGGTGAACTGTTCGGTGGATAAGGAATTGGTTGGATCACACTAATACGTGTTTTCATTCACCCATCTCTGTGGTATATATAGGCGTTTCACATAAGATAATTCACTCTAAAGCTATTCATTGTTCAAGCAGGAACAGTTGTTACATTTTCACAAAACTGGACTGCTGCACATATTAGGTGTAACAGCTGTGACATTATTTTTGCTGCCTGCCTGCTCATGCTTCCTTACAGTGGCATCTTGCAGGCTGCAGAGTCAAAACTGTTCATATTTACACTCACTGCTATTTCCTCATGACATTTGCCAAAAACTGCTGATGAAGTTAGGAAATTTCAGTGGCTAGGACGCTGGAAGACCTTTGCCTTTCTGGTGAGCTCTGGTGGAGTCCAACTGAATTGCCACAATTCTTTGGCTCTGTGAAGGAAACAAAGCAGTCTCATTACCGCTATGAAATATTAGTCCTGCTTTGCCTCCAGCCATCCCTGATTTATAAGTGGAAGTTCTGCTCTGACTATTTAATACTATGAAGTGGTATATTTTAAATCTATTTTATTTGGTTCTAAATTACAGCAGTCCTATGTTGCCAAATAATGAAAAGATAGATTGGACCGAACAGGGTGGAAATGATCAAAATTTGTGGCTAAGTTTGCTTCCATTTGTTGTAAGCTGTTAAGTGCCATATCCAATTTTATAAATATAGGTGTTATCTGCACTGCCATATGTAAAACAAGGCCAGTGCTTAGCAATGGCCTCTCTTCCAATTTCTGTAATGAAAATGTGTGCACTGAGCTGGCGATGTCTGCTATTGCAGAATGTGACTTTGAAGAAAATCATCTTTGTGGCTTTGTGAACCGCTGGAACCCCAACGTCAACTGGTTTGTTGGTGGAGGGAACATTCGCAATTCTCAGTCTATCCTGCCCAAAGACCACACACTTAACAGTGAACTGGGTAAGCAACAAATGTGAAATAGTAGTGGAAAATTTGAGTCTGTGATCCACGTATGACTCCTATACTGCAGATTATTATGCGAGTTCTTTCTTTTCTCCTGGCATTGGGTGGAGTAAGAATGACTTATGTGAAAAAAGAGATTAGAAAAAGACAGAGGGAATTTGCAGAAGTTCACTTATAATGAGGTTATTATGCCCTTTGCTAGGCTTCAAAATTAATCAAAATAAGGAGAAAACTTTGGATGGAGAGGGGGAAAGTTCATCTTTCTGTGGATTCTAAAAGTATGGGCCGCAGTAGGTTTCAAAATCTTGTACTGCTGCTCTGTACACCTGGCAAGGGTTTTTTTCCAGTGGCTATCGGGAAAGTTGAGTAGGAAAGCTAAGGGATTGAAACGTGTTTGGAGGAGCTCGGGTTAAATTGCACAGTTGAGGAGTTTTGATTCTTTCAGTCAAATGTGGTGCTGTTAATACAGTCCATCAGAGGCAGAATGTTGTAAAGACTTAAAAGGATTTTCAGCACTTGCCCCATATGAAATACATGTCCCAGGCACCTTGTTAAGAGGAGAACCTTTTACACAGTGGTAGAGAAGGGCTGCAGGATATCTTAGCCTTCAACGCAGTGTTGCACGAAGTACCGCAGCAGGTGCCAGTCAGGAGAGCTGGCTGCTGAAGGACACTGTGCCTCTCGGATAACGTGATGCTTGTGATGGTGCAAGGAATTGCACCACGAAAAGCAGGCTTGATCCTCTTTCCTTAACTCATGCCGCTGTGCCTTTTCATTTATTTCACAATTGTGTGAGTTGAGTACAGAGTGTCAGACCGGCACAGCATCACCCTACGGCACCAAAATGCTGGTAAAATTTTGAGGGTAGTTTAACTCACCACAATTTCAACAGCAGACAGTGGCTCTACCTATTCAGTAAAGTAGTGTATGTGATAGGAAATGTCACCAACTGGGAGGGATCTGTTTTCTTGTAGCCACAGTGTTTCTTTTTCACACCAAACCCTCACTGCTGACCATCAACTGAGAAGACCCCAAGAAGCCAAAAGTCACAGAAGAGCTTTCTTTTCTCAAGAATTGTGCTACAAAGGCACATCAGCCAGGGAGTTCATAATTAAGCTATGAAATATGGCAAAACTGCAGAGCAAAAATGAAGGCCAAAACTTCTCAGGCAAGTACCACCAGTCCCCTGGCAGTGGACAAGCTGGAGAAGACCCACAGCCAAGCAAGCCCTTTCCCCTCCTTCCTGTGGAGTGGAGTGAGAAGTGACATCTCCAGGTTTGAGAACACTAATAGTTGACTAACATAGTGGTGTCGACACAAACATAGTGGCACAGTTTGCAGTGTCCATGCTGAACTACCCTGTCAGTTTGATACTTCATTCTCCTCTAAGTTTTCTACTTGTGAAGAACCATTTTTCTGTTCATCAACTGATACTGTTTGATGCTGTGTTTCTGGGAGTGCGGAAGAAGAAAAACTACAGATGCACAGCATATCTGTGTCCTGTTTAAACCAAGGTAGCTCTCCCAAAACCAAAGTCTAAGAAGCTGTACCCTTTGAAAATCCTGCAGGTCGTATTGGCTGTTGAGCAGAGCGAGTCTACTAATCTGTAATACATTTTTCTGGTTATTAAGATCTCCCAAAAGTCTTTTTTAAGGATTTTACAAAAAAACCCAGTCTATCCAATAAAGGTAAAACATTTAGAAACCAAATTCTAGATAGACCAAGCAGAATTATACAAGCAGTGACATGTGCAGAATAAAGGTTATTTGCCAATTCATTTGATAGATTAAATGAACTGCTGAGTAAAACATGTGAGGAAACACATGGCTTATAGTCCTGTTCATTTACTTAGGTTGCCTCAGTAAAACTTGCACTTGGAAAAAGACTAAATACTATGGGAGGCAGGGAATTTACTCAGTCGTAACATATTCTTCCATTTATGAATGGCTCCCAAATTTCAGAGTTTATTACTTTCTCTACTTTAAAGGTCTCAATTAAAGACTTAGTAAGAGCTGAGACTGACTGCATTGGCAGTGGTATCTTAGCCAAACAACTTTGGATTGTACATAGGAGAAAAGGAGAAAAAAAAATCTCAGAATTATTAAAATTTCCTAGGAATCAGCCATCATTGTCCAGGTTGTAGAGATACATGTCACATTCCTGCCCATCTCCTGATACTTCTTGTAAGTGGTGTTCTTTAAAGAGTGTCCTTATACCAAGTTTCTTTTATACTTTTAGGTCACTACATGTATGTGGACTCTGTTTACGTCAAACATTTTCAGGAAGTGGCCCAGCTGATCTCACCAAAGACCACGGCCCCGATGTCTGGCTGCTTATCTTTTTATTATCAACTTAAGCAGGAGAGTAGCATTGTTTTTACTGTTTACTTGAGAGACACAACTGGCTTTTATGAAGAGATCTGGAAAACAGACAGCGCACTGAGTGCAGACTGGGCGCTAGCAGAAGTTGACTTCAATGCACCCTACCCCATGGAGGTAAAGCAATCGTTCCTGTGCAGACCAGCTACAAATTCCAGGTTGCATCAGACATTAGTGCTGACTCAGGCCAAGTTGGGAACACGGCAGTAGCTGTCCAGTATCTGAAAGATCGTTATAAAGATGCTGGTGATCTGTTTTTTCCTTTGTCCACTGCAAGAGCCATGGAAGAATCACTTTCCGTAGCAGTGGTTGATTTTCAGCAAAGATGAAGTCAGGTGGTGAAGTGCTTGAACAGAATACCTTGGGGAGGTAGAGTCCTACTAATGGGAAGTCTTTCAGTTGCTACTGAATAATGTCAATGTTCTCCCATATTTCTGTGACTTGATGATACATTTCTGAGGATGCTGAGTATCATAAAATAATGTGTGCCTCCCACTGGAGAAGAAAAATTTTAAAAAATATTCAAGCTCTATCCTCCGCCCTATACAATCCTGCAATTCAATCTGTCTGTGCTTTCATGAGATAGAGTCCAAACTTGGTTCCTAACAGTACAGTACAGTAGTCCTTAGATGTAAAAGCCAGCTCTCTATGGTTACTATAGTTAATTTCAAGAGTGTCAGAAAGAAACGGATTTTTTTATTCCCCAGTGTTTACTGAAAAAAACCCCAAACCTGAGAAGATTGGAATAAACATGTTTACATACATACATGTATATATGTATTAAGCCCCCCCCGCATACATGTACAAAAATGTGTGTGTGTGTGTGTGTATATATGGTCTATATATACACACACATATACACATTGTATCTTTATATATATGTAAAATATATATTCTTATATCTAATACATATATAAATATCTTAGAAGATTGGCATAAACAGTGTATATGTATTATACAATCATATATATACTTACAGGTATACAAATATATAATATATACATTATGCATATACTAATTTTTAATATGTATGCTCTTTCCATATATATACACATACACACACACACACTTCTAGTACTAGGATTACAAATAAATTGGCTTTCATTCTACTTGCTCTAACCCCACATAAGTTATTTGTTAATTCACTGCAGAAATTATTAGGGGTAAAGCTAATTTTCATCGGATGTTAGATAATCCTTTTATATGCTGTAAAGTCAGCAACCAAGTCATTCATTTGAATTGTCAGACTCCAAATGGTTTGGGAAAGGAGATTAGATCTGATAAGGTCTCATAATACTGAATAGTAAGAGAATTATTCATTTAATAAATACAAAGTAACATGCAAGGGGAAAACCAGTCCTAGCAGTATAGATGGAAATTAATTAATGATCACTTAGAGCTTGACATTTCTGTGGTTAGTTTTGTGAAAATATCCTCCTGGTTCTTAGTGGCATTCATAAAACCATCCAGAATGTTGGAAACTATCTATACTGGAATAAATAGCAAAACAGAGGATGTCGTACCATTGGATGAATGCACAGGGTACCCCTGTGTTCAGCAGAGTATACAACTCCAATCCTCTCAGATAAAAAACAATATCCTAGACCTACAAGAGGAAGATGGGGATAATCAAAGGTATGGAGAAGTTACATTAAAGAAATAACAGTTTTCAGCCTGTAAAAAAGATACTGAAGTAGAATGTGGTAGAGGTTCATAAAAGTCATGAATGACACAGAAAATATTAGCTGTTCCCCTTTTCTCATAATTTATGTTGCTGTTCCAGATTCTTAACTAACAGGTAACAGTTTTAAAATAAACCAAAGGGAAGAGGTTTTTTCCTACATCGCATAACTGTAGAACTCAATTCCACAGCGTACTATGGATACCATTATTCTGATCAGTTAAAAAACTGACTAGATGAATTAATGGAAAACAAAGAGTCCATCAGGAATGCAATGTGAGGGAAGAAGAACTGAAAACTTGTTCTTTCTGTAGGTGACCTCTGTTGGAAACAAGACACTGGGCTATATGGGCCTTTATTCTGCTCCAGGAATTTTCATGTAATCCAACACAGTCATTATTTTAGAGGTCACTTTATAGAAATAAGATAAACTTTGCATATAATTTCTTCAGTTGCTTCAAGAGGGTCTTCCTCTCCATTTCATCTGGCTAAAGGACATCCCTCCTGATTCTTTCACAGCTCTCCTAGTCTGGCTCCCATCCCTAGGTGAGACATTACAGGCATTGCTTTCACTGAACAGGATCTCTGGAAGCATTTGTCCTTATATCCTTGTTTTGTCCCTGGGGTTGCCTTGTGATTCAGGGCTTTTCTCAGTTTTCCTGTAACTCAGACCTTTGATACTTAAGAGAATTTTTAAGACACTTCCTTAAGAGTTATGGACTGTCATCCACTTACTTGACAAAATGATGTCCCTTGGGAATGGCTAAGTACAAACATTGTTTGATTTTTGTGGTAAACAAAACACAGTGATAGCTTTTCTGGTTCTTATCTTGACTAAATTTTTTAAAGGAAATCTTCCCTGCTAGCTGATGCCAAGGCATTGGTTTCAGAGTCTGAGGATGTTTAGAGAAAACAGTAAAATTTAATATTGTAACAGCAGCGTGATCCACAGAGTTTGTTCTTAGCTCTCAATCCAGTTAGATTCTAGATACAGTAATAATTAGGCAGCTTTGGAGTTCTAGTCAGTACGGATTGATGACCCTGAATGCTGGCTTTGTATGGTATCATGACAGGTAGCCTTACTGCATCTTTAAAAACTGATGCTTCATAAAGCAGTAGAAGAGCTATGTCCCATTTGATTTTTCCTTGACCTTGAGTGGGCAAAGATCTGGTGCCAGGGTCAGGCTCTGATTTGTATCCCTAATAAGTGATATAATTTAATTTGTTCCAACAACTGTCTGAGATGCCCTGGGGTCAGAATTGTGTAATAAGATATATACCAAAATTATTGTTGTGTGTATGGTAGATGAATAACAAACGATTGTCATTTCCAGGTAATATTTGAAGTTGCTTTCAATAGCGCCAAGGGAGGTTACGTTGCCCTTGATGACATTTCTTTCTCTCCGGTTTACTGCAGCAATCAGACAGGTATGAGTTCTCATTGCTATTTACCCTCCTTGTTTTCCCCTTTTGCTTTGCCCCTCTGAACCATCTGCCAGTACTTGCAATATTTGGTAGTGATGCGCAGATGCTACCTTCTCAACTGACTAGCACCGTTGGGCTCTTCTTCCTCCTAAACAACAAAACAGCTGATAAACACTAGTGCCATTAATTTGATCCAGAAACCAGTCCTTTATGCTTACTCTCCAAAGACCTTGCCTCAGCTGGTCTGGAGGCCTGGACTGAACGCTGTAATTGCATCGCCGCAGCTTTTGAACAAATTATCACTTGCAGGCCTGCCACAGAGAGGTGGGACTTGCCCAGGTGTGGCGATATGAGGAAGAAAGTGTCCTGGGCTTTTCATTATTGCTGATGTAGGGAATATCTTCTTCCACACCACATGCCCTGAGGTGTTCTTCAGAGCTAAAACAGGACCCTTGCCTTCCTGCCTTCACTCCTCTGGGAGGCATTGTTTATCTCAGAGAGAAGAATGTCTGTCAGGATTTTATTAGGTTTTCACAGCAGCAGAAGTCAGCTGAACCCACATGACCTCTGCTGTAGAGGCACTTGGGATGAAGGACTTTGTCATTTGTGACTGCAGGCTCTGAAGTAACTGGTTGCTTGAGTTTTACTGTAGCACTAAGCTATACTCAAAAGTAGATTAGTGGTTTTCCACTGACCCCATCCATTCTTTTGGTCATGAGTTTTAATTTTTGGCTAATGTTTTGAAGTGATCAAGGAAGAAGAGATTTTTTTTCCCTTTTTAATCTCTTTGGAGTCTCTGTTAGCTTCACCTGCACTGCTGAAGTATCAATAGGAGGTAGATTCCAGATGTATTATTAATCCATGACTCTTGGATGAGTAAATCTAGCTGATTCATTAGCTCCTCAATGCCTGTTCAGGTTTGGCTTTGTTTTGCGTCAAAAATCCTGAGTTATGTTTGCAGTATGCAACGGACTGGAGCTGTGTGCTCATCTGTGTCTTCCATTTTAATTTTCAGATGGCTTATATATGTTGAGGTATGGGATAAATTTTACCCTATTTTCTGGCCCAGCCCTGATTTAGTCACACTATCATGGCCCAAGTTCAGATCTACTCTGACCAGTAAATTTTATAGGTTCAGCTAGAGCTTTGCCTACTAACTCTGATTTTGAAGTTTTGTGGGGTTTTTTTTCTGTTTGAGAAATGAATCTCTGTGCTTCAAATACCTGTGCTTATTATACTGTGCTCTTCCTAACAAAACATATGCATCTGTCTTTTAGGAACTTCTTTCAATCCTGCCCAGGCAGGCTGCAATTTTGAGGAAGATCTGTGTAATTTTTACCAGGACCACAAAGATGGCCCAGGATGGAGCAGAGTGAAAGTGAAGCGTAACGTATATAGAACAGGAGATCACACTACTGGGTTTGGTAAATCAAAACTCCTTTTCACTGGAAGAGTCAAACTGGATATAAATGTTAACCTGTTCACTCTGCCAAGTTATGTCATCAGCACACTGGTTAGATTAGATTGCCTCACTGCAGCTCTCTGCCATTAAAAATCAGCATACACTGCTCTGTCCTAGCTGGGATGCTGACTGTACCTCCCCACATATAAAGGGGGAAGGTCACCTACTGCATAGTCATGCAGGGCCATAAATCAGAGTATCTTCACTACACTGATCTGTAGTCACTGAAGGGATGATTCCACAAAACTATGCAAGCATATGTAATAGTAGCTTAATGCATTGCTTTTAATATAGAGTAATGGTGGGCTCTGAGCTCTTCCAGGCTTAGGATAGTTGGCATTTTTAAGGGAAAACTGTGAAATGTTGTGTGGTGAAGCCATGTAATGGAAGGCCTGCTAATAAGTTCTGAAACTCACACATCTCTCTGTGTAGAGTATTCATGGTTCTTATTCATATGTGCTGAAGTCTCACCTCTTTCTACTTGGTGCAGGGAGTAATAGGCCTTGTGCCCCATTCTTCATTCTTCGGTCTTGGAGTGGTATATTTGAAAGACAGGTTTCCAGTGAGGCCAGCAGGCCAGAGAATTTTTCAGTGTAGATTTGAAAAGTGCTTATTTTTGGTAACTTAGCCATGTGCCAGTTTAACTGGAAGTAGCCGGGATGCTTTTAGAAAAATTATTTCCTTTCAGAGTGTGATAATCTGTTTCATGCCAGTAGAAACTATTTACGTAACCAAAGTCTGATGGAATAATGGAAGCTGCTTTAATTACAAATCAGCTGTGCTAGCTGTGTGTTAGAAATACTCAATAATTGTGCTGTCTTGCAGGTTATTACTTGTTGGCGAACACAAAGTTTACATCACAGCCTGGGTACATTGGACGTCTGTATGGCCCGACCCTGCCAGGAAACTTGCAGTTTTGTCTGCGCTTTTATTATGCCTTGTATGGGTTTTTCAAAATGAGTGGTACTCTTGCTGTTTTTATCTTTGAGGAGAATCATGTCGTTCAAGAGAAAATCTGGTCCGTCTTGGACTCTCCAAAGGGAGTTTGGACTCAAGCTGAAATCTCCTTCAAAAAGCCTATGCCTTGCAAGGTAAGAGCCAATTCTTCAAGTCTGCTGAATTCTGGATGGAGATTTTCCTTGCCTTCTCCTCCCAGGCTTCTTTGTTATCTGGGTGTTAATCCTAAGTGAGCTATACCTGCAAAGTGAAATAGAGCTTCCCAGGCAGTACAGTGGGGAGTAGAGTATTTCTTCGCCGCCTGGCCCCCTGGGAGCCCCGATAAAGGGGCTTTGTACCAGGAATGGGGCAGCATTGCCCTGGTGTCCTCAACTACAGTCACAGCATTTATGGAGATTTCACTTGAGGAGCTCTAAGGAGAGCCGGTTGTGTCTTGGTTTCTCAGCAGGCTCCACATTCACTCATTTTTGTTTGTTTGTTTCCTATGTGATTTGCATCACTGTACTCAGTTACAGATTTTTAACTAATTTTAAGAATCAGTACTGGTAAGTTCTGGTCAAAGTGGGAAGCTGGTCCTACTCAATCTAAACTCAGTCCTAAACTCAACCACTGGGTTAAAATATGAAACCAGAAGTCAGTGTAATTTAGAGCAATGGACTTGAAGTAATTGCAACGTCTGGTTTGAAAGGTCACTTTGTTATCTCAGCAAGTTAATAAGAATAACATAATATTTCACATCACTTCCTGAGTAAGTTCTCAAGCTGCTGGTTTTCCTCACCTCTACTCTTTTTACAAAAACAGACTTTTACACAAACTTGTGTAGGTGCTACTTATGCGGTTATCCTTATTTCTGTAATGGGCTTTCAATATCTGTGAGTCATCTAAAGAGGACCAGATGGATTACCACCTGATGACACTGAGATAAACCCAGCTTTTTGTCAGAGTGCAATAGTAGTATGAACATATGAATGAAAGTTTGTCTTGTAACTCTGGTATTTCTAAATTGCAGACACACATCTTAAGCATTTTCCCCACTACAAAGTCATTTTTGAAATTGCAGTAGTTATTTAGTTTAACTTTTCTTGAAAAAAAAAACAACAAACCACCCTGTTTTTCTTTGAAGTAAATACACTGTAAAAGAAAAAGTTCACCAAAAAAAAGTTGCCTAACTGTGTTAAAAGGAAAATTTATGCTGAAAATTTCAGTCCTAATTGTTGGCTAGTGTTTTCTCCCAGGTATCTGATACCTTAAAAACTCGATGCAATTTTTATGTACATATTTTTATGCATAAAACACAATAGAATTTCTAATTCCCTTTCAACTGACATAGAAAAGAAAATCATTACTGCCCAGCAAGTGCATGATAGAAAAGGCTCTCATAGAATCATCCCAAAATATTTGCAGAAAAGTATTTTTATCTCTTTTTTTTAAATCATTAGAAGGTGTTGGTTAAAAAGGCAAACTTTTAATTTAGTTTTGCCATCTCCTGTCTACGTATTTCTTTATTACTTCTAAAAAGGTTCAGTAGCCTGTGTAGTGTAATACACTGTATGAGTAGTGATGACAGCTGAGCATGACTGTTAAAAATGGTTTATAGCCTTGGAGGTGGCAGTTTTTTTAGCATCTGACATTTACATGGAAAATCTTTTCCAATATGAATTTATGAAGAACTATTTTTATGTTTTCCTAGAAATTAGTATATCTAAAACACTTGTGAAGAAGCTTGCCTGGGATGGAAAGCTTTTTGTGAATTGCAGCTTTCATGTCTGTAGTTACCAGTCTGTCTGTAGGCAGTAACAGAGGAGAATAAAGAAGTCAGGAGAATATCCTTGCTGATTTTGAGCCCGAAAGTCTGCAGGAGGGAAGAAACCCCATGCTCTGCTGCAGGAGGGCTTGTTGGCCTCTGGCAAGTCTCAAAAACCTTCAGTGGGTCCTTGAGGTCTTGTGATGGGGAAACCTTCTTTCCCATGGAAACAAGTTGCAAAATGTTTCTGTTGAGGAGGCATTCCTCAAATATCACAAAAAGTGAGATTTCTTGGGCTTTAGAGAACTCAGCATGTGTTCAGCGTATCATAATTCAGACATCCCTTTGCCAAATAACTATGTATTTGGGGGGGGAGGGTGTGTGTGTGTGCAGGTGAAGTTCTACTTTAGGCTTGATTTAAACTTATTCTCTCACACTGTCTTTTTTCCTGGATTGGAAGGTTAAACTAGGTTTAGAGTAGGGATTAAGTTGCAGTTTTGCATATGTAGTAGATGTCATTGGTACAAAATACATCATGCACAAGCTATAATGTGCTGGACTTTGTAAAATGGTTTTATGGTTTTCACGATGGATGTGTATGTGTATATAACATCAGTTTATAAAGTTTTCCTTAGACCAATAGTACATGGAAGGCTATGGGTGAAGTTCTGAAGCATGACAATATATGGAAAAGTATATCAAAATATGTTTACAGCTGAGAAGGTAGCATACAAAAGACAAATGATGCCAAAGTTTAAGCATGTGTCTGCTTGCCATAAGGCAAGGGTGAAAAACTGGTGTAGGTACAGGTTGTCTGCTTGTAATATTCACAAGCAGGCTTGAATGAAGTTACATAGTGAACCTGATTCTGGCTTTTCCTTGCAATCTCATGCCCAACTCTTCAACCTTAATACTTTAAAAAGTCCTTTCATGCTTTATTTTATTTGTTTCTTCTTTGCCAAACCAACAGGAGGAAATGAAGGAGCACTGTGTGGCATCGTATAAACACTTTGGTTAGTTGTCTGTAAAGATGAGTCTGTCTAGGATCTGCTGAAATAGCTGACAAGGAACACTCATTTCAGTGGATGTCTTAAATGTAGGCCAGCAGTGAGGGTCCATCAGAGACTGTTTTGCCTGACAGCAAGGAGTGGTGGGAACCAGCAAGCCAAGGATTACACTTCAGATTCTGGAGAGACAGTATAGAGAAACATGAGAGAAACAAGCTCACTAAGCTTGACCTTTCTTGTCCTGCCTCCTCCAACCTGTCCTTGTGTCTCTTGCCTCCTCACTGATGCATCTTTGTCTTATCTATCCTGCCCCATAGGTAGTAACCGCCCTTGAGCCCATTCCCCATCTTACTTCTTGTTCCTCAGCTCTGGACAGTCGAATTTTTTTCCCTCTAATCCTGTCCATGTTCCAGACTGTTTGACCTGCTTGTCCCAGTTCTTACAAATTTTAGTTTTTCAAAACCTAACGACTTGACAGAAAGCACAGTTCTGGCACAAAGACCAAACCCTGACACATTTCATGCTCCTACTCCAAAGCCTAGGAGTGCCCAAGCTTTTCAAAGAATTTTTTAAATAGGGGCAAAATAAAACCTTTTTTCCTAGCCTTGTTCTCGGAAATGATGGAACTGTTTTGGCTTAAATCTTCCAAAACAAGCCTGAAGCAAGGACCCAGCATGGAAAGTCTGAGCTGAAATCATTGCATCTTGGCAATATTACAAGCAAGTGAAAAGCAGTCTTTTAATGGAGTGAGGTGGTCTCAAGATAGGGCTGCCACCTTTCCTCTAATACAGATGTGGTGGCTGATGTTCCTATCGTATTGTTTTCTGAGATGCATCATGTCTAGACTTGGATGGTAAGAAGTTGTAGGTATGCATGGTAGTTTGGCTGATCAAAATCTTGGTTACTGGGTGTGACTTGTAGATTGGGTCAGCGCCTGTGGAAACAGTAAACAGTCTCCTGCCAGACCCTTAATGGCCACTAAACTCAGCGAGGCAGTCATTATGCTGCTTTGGCCAGGGACTCCTGAAGGTCATAACAATTTTGCAGCCAGAAAACAATTGTTCTAAAATACCTGATTACCTATGTCCTTCATCTTTCTTCTACTATGAATACTAGTCCCAAGGCTTTGAAAACAATACGAAATCCATCTGATATGTTTTAAATTTGTTTGCATCAGGACAATAAAAAGGCTCAGATTTTCATCTCTTGGTTTGTGTAATGGTTTTTGAAAGTTCTTTTTGAATTAGCTAACTGCAGTCTGGCACAGGTTGTTGGCTTGACTTCTGTGAGCAGGAAATGTGAAGCTGGCCAGCAGGCTTTAATATGACACTTTGAAACTACCATGATGAAAAGGTTAGGTGGGTATCTTCCAGCTAAGCAAGTCAAAAATGTTTATACATACATATATATATGCGTACATACTGCAAATACGTATGCTATATAATGCTAGTGAGAAGGCAGGAAATTTTAAATCCTGATTTGTCAATTTGTACTTGAGGCACTCTCTCTTTTATTTAGTGTAAGTACCTATGATTCTATGCACATACAATATTGATTTTACACTCTGTAGTGCCCAAGGAATAAATATGAGAAGGAAGAATAAAAAAAAAATCCTACCATTTATTAAAATAAATGAAACAGTTGATGCTTTATTGTGTAAGCCTCTTAAAGGGCAGCATAAAAATATGAGTCTGAAGTATGTAGATTCTTTTGATCTGACTGAATGTAATGAAGCTGATCTTCCAGGTCAATACATGGCAGGAAAATGTCAGAGCTAACTGGAAGAAAAATTCATATATGGCATACGTAACCTGGCGATGGTCGCATGCATTATGAAGCAAGAATCTGCATTTTAATGTTGTGTGTGTGTGTATATACGCCACTATAGAAAGATATTTCTTTTATGCAACTTCACAACAAAATCCAAATGCTTAGATTAAAATGAAGGTTTGAATGCAATTGGGTCTACTTCCATCAGTTCTGTTCATTTCTGCTACATTTGGTTCACCATTCTGAAGCTCAGGTTTTCAAAAGCAAGTATCTCATGTTGTTTATCCATTCATGCAAGTCTTTGCAATGTTACCTAGCACTGCAGTGCTTGAATTCCTCCCACAGAGTTCAAAACCAAATCCTCAGAAAGGTAGCTGGCATTGTAACAGTCCACCCTACTTCCCTCAGAGTAGTTGTGGCAGCACTTCTTGAGTTCTCATTCTTTCAGTCTACTTTTCTTCCTGTCTGATTTTTTTTTCCCCCTCACTTGCTTTCCTTGAGTTCATCTGTTTGTTTTCACCCATCCTCTAACTAATTTTAGTTGCAGTTGTGAGAAAGCAAAATCAAGTGATTGAGTGTTACACTTCAATGTTTACATGTTTTAAAACAAACA